GTGTACTAGGTGCTGGGAATGAAAGAGCTCCTGCTGGCTCAGGATTGGACAGCCGTGGCTTCCTGGATAGACCTTGAACCCTCTATAATAGCTAGCAATAGCTCAGATGCATCCTCAATAGTAAAGTCCATGGTCTCATGTAATGCTTGAACATCATAAGAGACCCAGCAAGGCTGACCCAAGTTCTACTCCCCGATAACATATTCGCAGCCATTGTCCCCAATCCACACCTCGTGTAACTTACCAGCGGGCACATCGATTCTCGCACCCACTCCAAACGTCTCTTTCTTGACTTCTCCATTGTGCAATTTGGAGTTATCGTCCGGATATGTGATGGTAAGAGTGCCCCGTCGKATGAGATGCGTCGTCAAGCCGCTATGACTATGTGGGGGGTAGTAAGCGTTGCTGCTGAGAGAATCAGTAAATGACTCTGAGGGTATCCGCGTCCAAATCTAAGATGAAAATGCGAAGGTATAAGCTGGTAATACCTTCCATCACTCCAGGTGAAGACATGTTTGAAGCCCCACTCTCGGACTAGATGTTCATCGTCGCTGCGACTTTTGATGGGATATGTTTGTGTCATGATCTGTTGAATTCCCCTCTGCAGCAAAGCAATCAGATACTGTCGAGAAGGACTAGTTTGTTCCCACGGATTATAAGTTTGAGGTGCAATACGAAGCGGGGGAGTATTCGTTGATGACGTCGTCGGAGAATTGCCCAGTATATGAAGATCGTAGAATTGCCCAAACCGCTCCAACGGTGTGTCTTGCATTCACGTGCCGCTGTATCATAACACGGTGAATTGGACGCTAGGAAACAGAAAACTCCCAAAGAAGACTCCATATGTCTGAGTGTCAATTTATGGTCTTTTCATTTGATCTGTCGTCTCAACCGTAGATACTGTATGGCTGCAGTTTTTCTCCGGCAGCAGACATATCAAGGAATCATTCCAACATATATACCGTAGCGTCTTTGGGTCGTGGACCAGATTTAAGCCAATATTCCGCTTCAAGCCAAGTAGGAGATTGCAGGAAACCACTCGTTAGTCATATTTGCTTGGAAACCTTGAGAAGGACGAAGAAACGAAGAGAGTTGAAGAGGAAAATCGAGGAAAGAGGCGCAAGCGTGGAAGCAATAGGAGAGAAAAAAGTGCCTTGATTCCAAGGCAACGAGCAAGCAAGCATACACCAGAAGAGGCAGGTGCTGTTGTCGTTGACCTCTACTTTCATTTGTGCGAGGTTTCGTGATTAGCATCCATCAATCTATCGTACAAGAAGCCCTTCCAATACCCTCTTCATCTCTCAGCGGCCAGGATGTTCTCAATATCGTACAATGCAGCCCCATCAAAATATCTTCCAGTTCCCTTGGTCGACCATAGACCCAAGCCCGGAGATCGTGTCTCTTGCTTTCCTGGCGTTTGCCTCAGATACCTGCCGTCCTACAGGCCTCGTGGACAGCCAGAAGGTCGAGGGTCGCTGAGGAACCTTCCATGATTTGTCTTTGAAGGTAAGGATTTCCTCCTTTCCCCAAGATTCGGTGAATTTCCTGGAGTTTGGTGGAAAAAGAGTCTTAATGAAGGATCTGACAAAGTGTTAGTTTTCGTGAATTCCTTTCATCCTTCCGAAGAGTTCTGCTCTCACCGATGTCGGTCAACATGGTGTGCCACACACATGACAGTCCTTTCCTGGTATTACCCAGGTCTCTTTTCCCTTTCCCTGGCATGATGGACAGCGAACACCAGGCATCTAGTCAAGTAACGAGAGTCAGCAATTGCAAACAAGGAACTATGACCCATCGCTCAATTCTTACCGTCATTTTGGCTAGATTTGATCAGGTCCTTGCTAACAAAGTGTTTCGTGACTCTCAGGAAATGCGTAGTCTTGCAACCCTAGGATTGGGTTGAGTGTTCGACTTTAAAGTTTCGATCTTCAAACAAACTTTCCCGTGGGCCTGGATAAGAAAGGACTTGTGGTTGAATGAACCGGACCTGAAAACTAGGTCGATCCTCTTTATATAGCCTGGTTAGTATGTGAATGACCCAACGACCCTGCCTAAGAGACTGAGGATTCGAAACCTCCATCGGGAGATCTCCAGTCCAGATTGGAACGATTCAACACTAGACAGGTGAAATTCAATGCATCCAAACAGAAGAATGATCCTCGCAAGGACGCAAACACCACATATTGTCGAAAATCAAGCTTATGCTCTGGAAAGCTCGGGTGATCCCGTCTATGACAAGCGTCGTGCATTCAGCTAATCAAATATCATTATTTTTTAGCGTCCAGCTTTACATTCTACATGCGAGATACGTGTGCGCAGAGATTCCAAGAATGACTCTAAGTCAACCAAACCTCTGGATGCGCTAAAAGAATGCAGCTCCAGCAAACGATACCCATTTAATGGGTCACAAGCCGTTTAAGCAACACGGAGTCTGCATTATCTATCCAGAAACGATCCATACATACTTCACCGCATATTGAACATTCATTATAATAATCTTATTATGTGACTGGTTGCAAATATCGTTGCTACAAGAATCAATCAGAAGTAGGTATTCAATGGAGAAACCGGGGCTACCTTGAACGCGATATCCACAACACGGATGCGGTCCCAATGTCCCGACTCTTGGAACTTACGGCAAGCAGTTTATATGGGTCCTGCTTGATATTATTGGACCATGCGAATTGTCATCATCAAGCCCCCTCGTTGGCGACCGGCTGATGGATAGCACATCAGGTATGCAACGCGTTCGATTATACATCGGGCATTCGCTATCAATTTCTTCCGTCAATTCTAACCAATTGGTTCTAATTACAAGTACCAATCCCAAATCCTCAACAGGGATACTGTGGATCTACAGGGGAAAGTGGTAAGTGCTGTGATCTGGAAACCAGCTTCGCTGGGCATGTCCAGTTGTGATCAATGTGACTTGAATTTGATCAGTGAAATCCTTTGTCCATTAAGCGTCCTGTTCGCCGGCAGGAAGACCCACCGGCCCACCGAGACTCGAGGGCGCAAGTTATGATATCGGCCAAAGCTACTCCGTAGCAATCAACTGACAGCTGGCCCCATCTTGGTGCCACTGCGTGTGTCTTACATGGGTAGCTCACGTTAATGATCCCGTTGCTGCGTCCGGTGACCCTGTCATCCATCGACCGAATGGTAGGCATCCATCACTATGCGAGTGGCTATAAGGATTGAAGCATCTATATGATTGATAGTCCTGCACATCGGCAGGTTGAGATCAGGACCAGAGGATTATGAATGATCGATTTTGATGTGGGAATGTGTCAGCCCTCGACAGTGTTGATCAACTGTCAGTCGACCGACCAGAGACCCTGAAAGGCGTATCCTCCATCACCGCCCCCTGAGTTTCAGGATTCCGCGAGTAAGAGTGCAAAAAGACTTGTTTTTGCAGGCTGCGAACCCCCCTTTTCTGGGACCAATACCTTGGAAAAGCCATGCACAGGCTGCGGTAGCCAGCATTGAGTTTGTCGCTAATCAACTCAAACCGTTTAGACTGGTCACTAGCGTTGATAGTGAATCTTATCAAGGCCTGGGGATTTCATCCATCACTTTTGCTGTGTGATGCCCCACATCTGCAGTTGATCAGTCAAGTCCATCTTTCTCCTGCCATCCTTGAGCTCTTCTGTTCCAATCCTGAAAGTTGTGTGGTTGTGATTTGTAGAGGCTTGCTGAAAACTTGAACTGACCAGTTCGTCTCCAACTGCGCATATGAGTCGCTTGGGAGATTGACATTGGTAATGATCTTCTTACTTTTCTTTTTTTTTTTCCGTCTTTTCATTCTTTGTGATTTACGTACCATACTTGACGATCTTTGCATGCAGGAATTTCTCTGAGACAAACCCAGAGCAACAGGCCATGCGTGTATGACTGCACTGAGAGTGTGGCTCCCAGAGGCTTTCCCCCTAATCCTTAGTCGCTCCACACCACCTTAGCGCTCATCCAGTCAAGGGTCCACTGCACAGACATAAAGACATTCCAACTCGTTGACAGGTCACTTTTCTACCTCCTGCCAAATCAAATATAGCAGCAATCAATATCGTTTGTGTGACAGTCCCAGCGACGTCTCCCCTCCGTTATTCCTTGCCCCAGCTCTCTCGAGCGGGGTTTTGAGCAATGACAGTTTCTGCAGACTGAGGAATATGGTCATATTCACCCACACCGCTAGTCTATTACGCCAGTCTATCGCGGTATAATGAGACTTTCTAAGACCTTGACACTTGATAGATCATTCAAGCACGATCAAGACCTATGAGGGATGACTCTCCGGATAGTCTATTTCGCAATCATTGCTATGTTTAGCACGGAGAATCCATCCTCTGCTGAGTAATGCTCTACAAGACGTCTCCGAGTATTGTGTTTGTACCTGTTACGCTTGCCTATAGATTCAGCTGGACAAACGACAAAGCACTCCAATTCGAAAATGGAATCAAGTAATGAGATGGTCAAATGCAAGTAGCTGCAGATAATCTTTAATGTTGCTGGAGTGGTCTAATCAGGTCATATGCATCAGAGCTGATTGCACATGCATGGCATGCGCATGAGCATTAGCATGAGCATGAGCATTACGGCTGATTTATTCCAAAGTGTTCTGACTGCAGGCAAACCAGCTGCACATTTGCTTTTTTCTTGGGTAGCTGGGAGTTTCAGAATGTTTCTCTTGTCTGTCTTTCTAGATAAAGCATCGAACAAGGTAGAACCCTGCATGAAGCTTGTGTGACAGGTGGATTAGACGAGGGTCGAGTGCCGAGTACCCCATATGTAGCATGTGCAATTGCGGGCCGAAAGGGTTTGAGGATTTTTGAATTGATCTCTCTCGTTATGGTGACTAAAACTTCCAAATCCCAGTCCCAGTCCTAGTCCCGACTAGAAGGGTGATGCATATGCATACGGATATATCGTCATAGCTAACCACTGAAGGCTCAACTATTGATCCTTGTATGTTCTAGCCAATCGGCACTTCGGTGAATGACTGCTCATGAGAGTACCTTGGTGATCCGGACTAACAGGATAGCACCGGTTTCTGCCCCAGAGCAGTCAAGGAGATGGATCAGTCGATAGCCTTGCTGCAGGCGGCTGAGTTTGAGACATGCCCAGGCGGCGAGGGAGTCTCGGCCGAACTCGTCGTCTCTGATTTTGAATCTGTATCTGTATTAGTCTGGTGATTGTACAGGTGGATGGTAGACTACTGGTTGTTAACGGGGGGCTGTGTACCTGACAAAAGTCAACTCCTCAATGACACCCCTCAGAGTCGGGAACTGGATCATCTGCGCGCCGAAATCCGGGTTCGTGCCTGTAGCGCTCTTGATGCTGTGCTCGTAATTCGTCTTCTCCGAGTCGGTGGTGTTGTCGCCGACCCCGGGCGAGCCGTTCTCCTCGTCTTGAGATTCCGCATGCAGGTGGCAGGTGACGTAGGGGTGGAAGCCGGACTCCTTGGTGTCCCCAGGGGGCAAGGGGAGGTTCTGCGCTGCGAGGATCTCGATGGAGAGGTCGAGCTGTTGGCGCTTCATGGGGGTGGAAAGGGGATCGGAGCTGCGGTAGCCCTGGGGCTTGAGGACCCAGCCGGGCTCGCCGGTGAACATGCCCCGGTTGAGCATCATGCCCTTGTCGAGGTTTTGCCAGTTCAAGGCGACGATCTGGGCGCCGCAGTGCCAAAAGAACGTTGGGTCTGGGTTGGATGAGTTGACGCGCAGCGCGTATGGGTAGACTCGCATGAAGAAGTGGCGGTTGTGCTCGAGGAGGGCGTCGCGGTATTTCGCGTACGCCTCACGCACGGCGCTTTCGGAGAGGGAGAATACATGTCCTGGTACTTTGGCCTCTGGATACCGTCAGGTCAGCACTACTAGTACTATCTACCGCACAGACACAGTAACATCGAACGTTGCATGCTCGAGTCTATTGGCATAATGGCTTACCTGGCTGAGTGAACTGGTGGAAGGAGAACCCTTTGGTAAAAACCGCTAGCCTGCTCAGGGAGTGCAGGAATTTGGACGGTTTCTTGGGTGGTGCATGTTGGTTGTCCTGATCGAGAGATGGAGGTGTATCGGGCGTGTCGGTCCGCTCGTCCTTCTGCGCTTCGCCTTGGTCATCACCTGTCGCTGGGACCCATTTGACCTTAATGAGAATCTTGCGTTTCAAGGTCTCCAGGGGAGGCGGCGCCTGAGTAGCTTCAAGTTCTGGGGTGATTTCGATCAACATTCCTTTCCACGCCTCCTCCATAATTTCCACCATCGTCGCCTGCTGCTCGATGCATGTGTGCACCTCCAAACTGACGATGACCGGCAGATCACTCGCCACAAAGGCGCTGTCGCGAATCGCATAGCAAACATCGCGGAACGTGGTTCCTTTGGTCAGCGTGTGACCATGGAGCACCCGGGGCTCCGGACAGCGTAGGGTTTGCGCCACAGAGTCTACAGCAGCAGCAGCAGCAGCAGCAGTCGATGCAGGTTTATCAGTGACTCCATCATCAGGCGACGATTTGCGTCGCAGCAGGCTTCCCAATTTGGACGAGATGCTCTTGTGTCGCGATGGTGCCTTGGTTGACTGTGCGCTACCATCCACCGGTGGTACGTCTTGCTCCTTATCGTGGCTAGTCTTTTCTTCATCAGAGCTCGACTCGCTATTATTGCTGCTGCTGCTGCTGCTGCTTGTGTCGTCACCAGAGACGCTGTCTGCAAATCCGTCCCACACATCGATTTCAACACATCTACAACCACTCAGAAGTACCTAGTCAAATGTCAGTGAAGGTGACAACCATCCTCCAGGCGGACCCAAGTGAAGAGGGGAATTGGTCGACAGTGCATCAGCCCGCATGAAGGAAGCCTGTAAGCACCGATGCAGCATCTTCCCCTCAAGGCCGACGATTCAGCAAGGAATGGACCAGGTGAGACATACGTTAGTATATGCGGCCGCTGCAGCATCGCTGTACAGCTGATTCCCGGTCAAATAGGTGTTGTGACTGGATGAGATGTAATAATCTGTTATCGGTGCCGACAAATCCTGACCTTTGGCCGGACACAATGCATCAGACGCTGGGCTGGCCATGTATGCACGGAATGCTGCTAAGGACGCGAGGGGATTTGCGGCCTCAAGGTCACCTGCAATCTCGTCGTGTTGTACATCCTTGATAAAATCAGCAGTCGAGGTGGCAGTCAAGGATGCGTAGATCTTGTCCAGGTGGGAGGACAAAGGGCCGGGCTGCACTTGGATTGGTCCTGACCGAGCGGGTTTTGCTGGGTCGAGAGAAATGCTACCAGCACGACCAGTAAGCTCCTCCATCGCTTCCATCCTCATGTATGTATTTACTGGACTTGACGAAGCAGCTCTGTAATATCAAGCCACTTCGTGGATTCGACCCGCCGCTACCTTGCTTCCTGTATGATTGCCAGGCGAGCCAATGTGCGCTGGATGGAATGTGATACAGCAGCTGACAGGACAGTCGCAGACAGTTCGAGTCGGCTACAACTATCAGGACATAGGGGATGGCAGAGATCACCACAAAGAATAGAAGTTCAAATCACAACGTCGAAGAAGAAAGACGGGAAGATCGCGCTGAGTTGGCTCGTGTCAACGCTGTGTGTTTGCTCCACTCGGTGTGGACTTGGCTGTTCTGGGTCTGAGCCACCGTGAAGATTGACTGGACCGAGTCTATCCATTATGGTGATGATCAACTTTCGGGACCTTGAATAGCCTAGGAAAGAGACAAAGTGTATGGCTGATTGCAGATACCTACCGACAGAGAATGAGATGAGTTGATGTTTATCGAAGACGCGGGGTAATACGTAGGATAAGCGACGGAGATCACCTCCACATTTCTTTCACCTGAGAGGTACCGCTCGAATTGATTAAGTCTCTACGACTATAACATGTTGAACTGTTCGTCCTTCATACAATGCCTTTGCTAGATCCAATCTCCCTCATAAGTCATAACTAATGACTGTCATATGGTTCTCCGTATCCAGTCGAAGTGGGGAGCAGCGGTGAGCGCAGAGAGTTCAGAGTTTCAGTTTCTCTCTTAAGAGCCTGTGGAGATTGATCAGAGATATTACAGCGAATACACACTCTCTATGATACTGGTGACAGCTGAATGAAGCTGTACAACTACGCCTGTCAAGATGGCATGGGGTAGTCAGGGCCAGTGACTCAGAGCCGTAAGCTGATCTCACTGCATCGCCAGAAGTATAGTACACCAAGGCACAGCGGTGGTCTCAAAAAAGCCTCCAATCCCCGGGCGGTAGAGTACCTATTCTTGGAGACTGGCTTATCATCCGCGTGGGTACTGAAAACTACCATGGACCAAGAAGGTACCTTACGAAACTCTCCGCACCAACTGCTGATAAATCAATTCCCCGCTCCCGCCATAAGATTCAAGACTTATAAGCAGCAATGAAGTCTCCCAGAGCTCTGAAACTACTACGAGACATCTCAAGCACACAAGTACGACCGTATAAAGCAATGGCAAGCGACTCACCAGTCCATTTCTTCGACATCACGTCGACCCTACCCGGTACGAACAGTCCAAACCCATCCTCTCCCATACTAATCCAATTCACCAGGTTCCTCAAAATCATGGTCCCCAAACACCCTCAAGACCCGAATGGTCCTAAACTACAAGCGCATCCCCTACACCCAGAGCTGGGTCTCCTACCCTGACATCGCGCCCCTCCTGACCTCCCTCGCCGTGCCCCCCAACCCAGACGGAATCCGCTACACCCTCCCCGCAATCAACCACAAGCAGACGGTCAAGTCCAACCCCACCGGCACCCTCACGGACTCCTTCCCCATCGCCTGTCACCTCGAACAGCACTACCCCACCCCGTCGCTGTTCCCCTCCGGCGACGCAAGCTACGCCCTCACCATCGCAGTCCAGAAGCTCATGAGCAGCGCCGTCGGCAAAGCCCGTCCGCTCATCGTCCCCAACGTCGCCAATATCCTTGATGACAAGGGAAGAGAGTACTTCATCGAGACGCGGTCCACGTCGTTCGGCAAGCCGCTGTCCGAGGTGCGGCCGAGGGATCCCGAGCGGGTGAAAGAGGCGACGGATGAGATCAAGAAGGAGATGGAGGTGCTGGCGCAGATGCTGCGGGGAAGACAGGAGAAGACAGGGCCCTTCTTTGAGGGGGATAAGCCTGGGTATGCGGATTTCATCGTGGTCTCGTTCCTGGCGTGGGTGGAGAGGGCCGATAAGGAGCTTTGGCGGGAGCTGCTGGATGCCGGTCAGGGGGAGTTCAAGGCCTTGTGGGAGGCAAGTATTCCGTGGGTTGAGGGACAGGGTGAGGAGAAGGACTGGCCGGTTGCCAAGTGAGATGTCTAGCTGGAATTGTATATAGGCGGGTAGGATCGATATTGATATACCCATTAGCGTAGAATCAAATCTAGCGCAAGCTTGCAGCAGAAACAAGAATGTCCCATTCAGCGCCTATCATGGGATGGAAACAGTGAGATAAAAATACACTTAGCACGTTGCCAGACACTCTATACCATCCGCAGCAACGCAATCGTACATAGCCTCTAAATCACCATGGCAGAACTGGGAGAACTGCCCTCAGAAACCAGCCTTGAAACCACTCACAGACCCCGCAGGAAGTTCGCTTCTCTGATCGCCTTCCTCCGAGCATCTCTCGCGCTCTTCGTAATCTCCGTCCGCTTCTCAATGCTCTCAGCCGCCAACGCGAAAAGATCTTCCGCCCCTTCGCGATTATACTCCGCAGGCGTGATATCATTAGCGTGGTGATGAACCGGGATCTGAGGCGGCAGCGTCGCCGCCCGAGCAGCCATTTTCTTCTCGTAGCGTTTGCGCTGTTTCTTATTCAAAGCTGGGACAGGTCAGCACAAACCTCATCACAACAAAAGCAGTGAAAAACATACTGCTAGGATCCACCCCTCCCTCCTTCTTCGCTTTCGAACCGTCCTCCAACAGAGTCCACAACCATTCGGGATACTCCGAATCTTCCAACGCAAACACATCCGGCTTGTTCTTGAAGTAATTGAGCCCGTTCAGCTTTGTCCCCGCAGGCGCAATGCTAGGCGTCCGCTCCGCAGCAACCTTCACGGGCTTCTCGGGGTTGACGTCCACGTGGACGCCTTCGGGCGTACTCAGCGGCTGCGACACGCCGGGTGTAGCGGACGAGATGGCCGAGGGGATGGTGATGTCGCCGCCAACGGGCTGGCGAGGAGCGGGTGGAGGAGGCGTGGCGAATACTGTGGGTTTGCCGTCACTGTAGGTCCGGAATTGGCTGCGCTGGACGGGAAGCTGGCGAGCGCAGGATGATGCTGTCCATGAGACTGTGGGTTGGGGTTGGAGCTGGGAGAGGATGCTCGTTCGGCAGCGGCGGCAGATCATCTTGTTTGTCGTTGGGTACCGTGGAGGGGATTGAATAAATATATCCCTTGTCACGGACTCACAGCGTAGTAAGATGCCGTGGATTTAAAATATTGCGTATTGAGGTGGAATTGATATGAAGCCGATATCTGAAAACTGCGGAATGAATTTGATGCCAAGCCGGAGGTGGTCATCACGTGATTCGGGGTGCACCAGACCACATTTATGCCTTAGGTGTCTCTCATMTCACGGATTGAACTAATAAGCAACTTCGGCTTTTGAAAATGCATGCACATGAGCACTGTATGAAATTCAGATATTGTTGTGCCGGCTGACTTGAAGAAACCCCAATCTAGGGTGGATGTGATTATCTTCTGCAGAGTGGGACTTATATGGGGCATTTAAGCATCCATTGTTCGTCTAGAGCATGTCTGGTAACAGCAGCAATGAGCAAGAGTCTCCTAAAAGGTTCTCCATGCTTAGATCGCCATGCAGTGTGTGTGCCTTTACAGCATCAACATTGTAAATAATTACAGTATCCTTGCTGTATCGCTCTCATGACTCTCTAGATTCCTATCCTGATCAATATCAATCCACAATGAAGAGTACATATTCTAAAGACGGCGTATGCTACTGCATATGGATCATCTGCAACTGGAACATGCATCAGTTACCATTCAGATAAGGCGTTTACCCATATTGGCGGCCGACGTCCTGTCTAGACGCAAGCAATAGGGATATGCGCCTGTCTGCAGAGTCCTTCTTTACCTCATTCAAGTGAACCAGAGGAGACAGTAACGTTTTACTTCCCTTGTCGCCGACGGCATGTTCTATGCTTAGCATTCCCGAGGTATCAGCTCTACTACATAGAGATGGATACTAGATAGTTGAGAGCTGACTTTCATAGACGACAATTATCCTCAGCCTACTTTTCAGCCTGGTGAGATTCGTGCTTTTCTTTCCACCTGCACCCATGCGTTGGTTGGCTTCTTCTGAAATGACCCCCCGGTCATCAGAACAAAGACAGTTCACTTACATCCTCTCATATGCTATCCGTCTGAGCGTCGTATCTTCATAATATTAAAATCAAGCGTGCCCTTAGTCCAAACCTAACGTATAAAAACCAACCAAGTCAACCCCATCACCACTACAGCCTTCCACAAACTCCCCCTTATCGACACAGCCCCAGAGCATCCAAACTGATTAATCTCGCGCGAGTGCGCCAGGCAATCATGTAATTGTCCGCGGGTACTCTGCGTGGCATTGCAATACGCGGCACAGCTCTCTTCGCCAAAGTAGCCTATCGACCCATTTACTTCGCGGCAGCATTCTCCCAAAGTCGTGTAGGGGTCTTGTGTGGCGTTCCAGTGCTGGTAAATTGGGACGCCGCAGGTGTTGGGGTAGGTGAGCTCCGGGAGGCCGGTGAGGTTTGCGCAGCGGGCGGGGCCGATTGCTTGTGTTGCCATGTTTTGTCGATGTCAGCAGCGTGAGTGTAGATTGAGTATTCTATTGAAGGTCAGCTGGTGTATGTAACTAGTGGGAGAAGAGCCTACCGATGATCGGGTCGGTCCAGGTACAGGGATAGATGTTTGATTAAGGAGAATTGTCGAGGGGTTAACAAGTAGGTGTCTATCAGCAGAGTGAAAACAAGAAAGAATCTGACAGAGGCTAACATGGGAAACTTAATCAGTGAGGTTACATCGTTCCATAAGCTTAATCGCTAGAGATAGTCTTCCAATGTTGCTGTCTTGCCTGTTTGAGTTAGTAGTTAGCAGTTACTAGTTAGCCATGTGGGATGGCTGTGTCCGCTGTCTATCATTTAGTTAGTTGGAGTTCGAGTTTGACCTCAATTATTGTCTACGTTTATATTCTTATCACTGATATGTTGATAGGACTGAGATGCTCCGCGGATGATCAGCAGAGCGGGCTACAAGTTTTATATATAGAAGCTTATTGAGGTCACATCATACATGGTAACTCTAACTATAGCTCATGAACCACCTCAGTGAGCTTAATCAGACGAAATCACATCTCTATCAATACATGTGCTATAAACTAGCCTCTTTGAATACTCTGTAGTCGGTATAGTTATATTAAGCTTGAATCTTTGTACCCAACATCAAGTGTGGCGGGGCTTGGCTCTTTAGCTGCAAAGATTATATAAGCATAGCACGCGCAGGCAACTGCTAAGTATTATGAAATAAAGGACACGGTTCCGAGATTATACTCATCGCTCAGTATTCATGTTGTATAGAACGTGAACAAGTCAGCTTCATAATCGTCGTCTATCCAACCAATCAGATCAGGCGCATGGACATTACGCTGGGGCCAGGTGAGGGGATACCTTACTAGAGGAGCTAGAGATCTACAGGAGTCCACCTGGCAAACAACAATCTCAATACTCCAAATTTCTCTTCTCAATGACAATTCAACTAACAAAAGGCCAAACAATGGCAACTTGCGTATATTACGTTCGTGTCCAACCAGGCCGCTCAATATTATGACCTGAAGAATGCCTGTCTAATGATGCAAACCAAGCAAGAAACAAGATGAACAGATTTTCAAAGCCCCCAATGCTCGAAATGAGGACAACACGGAAATGATTAAGGATATGAAAGTCCCCCAACGCCATACAAAAAGGGAAAAAATATGTGACATGCAGCGACATAACTAAGTAGACAACCCACTGACTTCCAGGAAATTGCACAAGCTCACACAAGCATCCTTGAGTGACTTTTCCGTCTTCCAGTTGAGCTCCTGCTGCGACCTTGCGGCCACGGCGACACAGGAGCCCACATCTCCTGCGCGGCGATCAGCCGCCCTTCGGGGAATGTGCTTGGAGGAGACATCCTCCATGGTCTCGACCACTTCCTTGACGGAGTGTCCGCGACCGGTTCCCAGGTTGAACGTGCGGAAGTTCTCCACCAGTTTGCCTTCATTGGCAGCGCTGAGGGCCGCGATGTGACCGCGAGCAAGGTCGGAGACGTGGATGAAGTCCCGGACTGCCGTACCATCCTCGGTGTCCCAGTCCGTGCCGAACATCTGCAACTCCTTGTACTCGCCTGTCATGACTTTGACGACAACAGGGAGCAGATTTGTGGGAGTCTGTCTGGGGTCTTCTCCAAGGAGGCCGGACTCGTCGCATCCGATGGGGTTGAAGTACCGCAGAGCTACGATGGTCCATTCTGGGTCGGAGGCGGCGAGGTCCGCCAGGATGGCCTCGCAGATCCATTTGGTACGTCCGTAAGGATTTGTGATGCCTGTGCAGCCGGGCTGGATCATCCGTTCGGTACCTTCGTGGTCCGTATAGGTCTCCTCCTTGTGAGCGCAGAGCTCCTCCTTCAGGGGGAGACCGGAGGTTGCCAAGGTGCCGTACACGGTAGCTGACGAGGAGAAGATAAAGGTCTTGATGCCATAGTCACCCAGGGTCGTGGCAAAGTCGATGAGGCCGCTGACGTTGTTGGCATAGTACTTGAGTGGGTTACGGATGCTCTCCTCCACTGCCTTGTAGGCAGCGAAGTGGATGACACCGGAGATCTTAGACTTGGTCGTTCCCCATCGGGTCTGAGTCTGGTGCTGTTCTAAAAGGTCCCGGAGAGCAGCGGTGTCACGATAGTCGTGCGCATGCAGGTGCAGCGACGGCATCTTGGTCCCTTGCTGCTCATGGTACTTGGACGCTAACAGCTTGATGCGGTCGAAGACGATCTGAAAAGAATTGCTGAGGTTGTCGATCACAATCACATTATAATTGGCCTTGAGAAGTTCCAATGTTGTGTGACTGCCAATGAAGCCGAGGCCGCCAGTGACAAGGATGTACTGGTCGAGAGGGAAGTGGCGCAGAAGATCTTCCAGATGACCATCAAACAACACGGACGACTGCGTTGCGGGCGTGTCCACGCAGCCTGGGGAGCAAGGCTCCACCGGAGTGCTTACGTCGGATTGCTGGTGGCTGTCCATTGATAGTCTTGATCGCCGAGTTGAAGATCACGCCGAGAATGATATGCTAGGGAGATTCTTGAAAAGGAAACGAGGAAGCTTGTTTGGATTCTGCTCAAACGAACGTGGATGAACTCGGACGGAACGAAGGAAGAGTTTTATATTTCAAGGGCAAAACAAGCACCACCTGGCAGCGGTCCACTTCTATCCAGCTGGGTCAGGCAAAGACCGTAGTATGACTTGCTTGATCTACACGGGAAGACAACTATAGAAGCGATTGGATGCAACGATACCAGGACACCAGAGGGACCAGATCTCGTCAGAACAGGGGTACAAAAAGGAATAAACAGAAAAAGAAAAATATCCGTTAAGGGGAAGCAAGAAGAATCTGCCTCAGCCTCAGGAAAGAAAGCCAACTAGGCAAGGATGAAAAGACGGGAACGAGCGATGTCAGGGAAAAAATGAAAGGGAAAAAGCGAGCGAGAGAGGGCAAGCTGTCCAGGGAGAAAGGCCTAGATGTTTGATGCTTCAGGATGAATCGTCACTTTGCCTCCGTCTGGAACGATGGCAGAATCATCGAACGAGCCTTGAGCGCCTCCACAGCAGTAACCCAAAGGTACTCCGCCGGTGGACAGGATCTTTTGGAACCAGAACTTGGGCCACATGAGGTCAGGAAGAGAGACCACTTGCCTGCGAACTTAGCCTAACTACGAGACTAGAGGGTTTGGGTTGCTGCATGGCATGGCCGAGATCCGCCCCGCTCGTCTATTTTGGGCTCGATGGTGTTCGATGCCCGGACCATATCATATCGTATTATTTGTTTTATGCCTGTGGATCATATAATTCATGACTACTGTTTTATTTTTCTGGGTCAAGATGCGACCAATCCACTACGAAACCAGTAAATCTCTGTTCTATCCGTCTAGGGCTGACTCGGACTAGACAACACTACTTATTCCTTAGGCTTCCGGCGCCATGTCCTGTCCGGCCAGAGGCAAAATCCACTTGATGCGTTTCTTCTTGTCCTACTGCGACGCTCGGTGATTAGCTTTTTCCCTGAGGCCGTTTTACTTTTATTATTAATAATAATATTTACAATGTCCGAAAAACACGTGAGCAATAGGCGCTGTTTGCAAAGCCGGCGCTCTCGTATCCTCTTGGCTGTCATTGCTTTTATTGCTATTCTGGCTGTTGTGATTCCTCCGGCGGTTGTGGTGACGCTGCACAAGAAGAACGACATGGGGCCTAAATCCAAGGTCTTTGTGCCTCTCTATGTGTACCCTGCACCCGGAGCCTGGACTCCGCTTGAAGATGTGTATGTCTCCCACGTCCCCCCCCCTGCCTGACCTTGATTCCGTCATCCTCTGCCCAGCAGAATCGTCACCACCAACCATGGCGAGCGGTAAGCTACTAGACAGCTAAACGCCACAGGATCTCCCAACATCCGGACGTGAACTTCACGGTCGTGATCAATCCAGGGAGCGGACCAGGACCCAACGCTTTGCCTGATGCCAACTACACGCGCGAGATCCCCCGGCTGGGCTCCTACGAGAATGTGCGGCTGTTAGGCTATGTGGCGACGACCTATGCGAAGCGCAATATCTCGCTGGTGCGCAGGGACATCGAGACCTATGCAGCGTGGCCAACGAACAGTTCCAACCCGGATCTAGCCGTTCGGGGGATCTTTTTCGACGAGACCCCTCAGCAGTATGATGAGGATGCCTTGGCGTATCTGCAGGAGCTGACCGATGTTGTGAAAAATACACCTGGTTTGGGGCCAGATCATTTCGTACGTCCCGTTCCTGTTATCCGATGGTGTATTGTATTTTTCCTCGCTTACCACCTTCCCGCCATCGTATTGATCTACTTTTGGGTTGACTCGTTTTTGCTTTTTCTACAACATGGTCAACCTGTCGCTTTGTACTGTCCCGATGCTGATTCTACAGGTTGTCCACAATCCCGGCGCAATCCCCGACGCTCGCTACCTGTCGACAGCAGATTCGACTGTCGTGTTCGAAGCGACATATGACACCTTTCAGGAACGGCATGGAGCCAACCTGTTCACGGCCATCCCGGAGAGCAACCGCAGCCAGCTATGCGCGGTGATCCACTCGGTGCCAGAGAGCGTCGAAGGGTCTGCGCTTCGCGGGCTGGTCAAGCAGGTTCGCAAGGTTGCTGACGAGATTTTCATCACCCACTTGAACACCGATTACTATGCTAATTTTGGGCAACAGTGGCCTGAGTTTGTGGACTTGATGGCGAAATAGCACTACCCTGCCGCTTCATGCATTTGACGACATGATGACATTACGATAGATGATGTTGTTGTTGGAAAAATAGGTACAGGTACCTCCGTCTAGCGAGGTGTACTCGTACCAACCTAGTGCTTGTATTTAAAGCTGTAATTTCGCAGATACCAAAATTATGATCAAACGCAGCGCATCCCGCGTAAATCACCTCAGATCCTCAACCAACTAACTCATTCCCTGGAGCAGAAACTTTTGAGAGAGTTTCACTTTACTCCAAATAC